CCCTGGCTCCGGCCAAACCAAGACTTGGACATTGCGGGGCCCCTGGCTCCCTTTCCGAGAACCCATACGGGTCCCCGATACTTCCGAGCTAAGGCGGGCGCCAGTTGCCCAGCGCGGCATGGCCTCGGCCAGAGTTCAACGTGGACCCAGGTGGCGGCAACGTTTTTTTGCAAGGAGCTGGTCAGTGCGGCATAAACATGGCGGTCTTGGTTACGGCTGTAGGATCAGAATCATAACTTGATTGCTCGGGCGTGAGGATGTTAGGTTCCTCTGGTCTTCGGGTTCTTGGGTTTTAGGCTCGGTGCTTTTATCTTTGGTTGCGGTTGACCCCCCTGCAAAAGTTTAAGTTTTTGGGGGTTTAGTGGAAAACCCCTTGATTTCCACCAAAAAGCTAAAGTCTAAAGATCCAACCCAATAGCAAGTTATACGTGGCATGCTGCCTGCGTCTTCGGGCTTTGGTGTGTTGTGCATTCTTCGCAAGCCCGCAGCCAGAGTTCAAGAATGCAAGCGCCTTGTGTTTCTTTTTTTCTTTTTTTTCGCAGCATGCAGGGCTTGCGTCTCATACCGGCCAACTGCTACTTGGATCACCATGGCTACGGAACTGAGTGGCTTGAGATGCAAAGCACAAACCCTGAATGTCCAATTGATTGGTTGCCTGTTGTACATTTGCAATCAACATCTTGAGTTCAGCATGGGACTTGTCTGGCCAACAGCAAATTGTGAGTTACTGAAAAGGTCGGTAAGGGAGAGGCCAGAAATCAGCTCGCATGGGCCCCGGGCAGTCGAAGGGATCGGAGCCCGGGCCCTGCTCGCCGCAGCCAGCCGCCTGAGCGTCAAGCGCAGGTGAGGCAAACGAGGCAAACACTTCGTAGCTCAGTGGGCTTGGCTGAACTGGGCAGTTTTTTTGCCGGATTGAGGTGATGTGTCCTTTGCACCTTTGCGCCCGCAACAATGGCCCTGCAAGAAATTGTGCCACGAAAAGTAACATAAATTTGCAAACGCAACATTTCGGAGCCGCTCACGAATGGTACCAGGTCTGTCTGGGATTGAGGTACCTTCGGAGCTCCAGACTCACAGGGGACATGCCTGGAGTCAGACATCTTTTGCGCCATGACTTCTTCAGTCGCATCAAGTGGTTATGATGCCCTGCCCACTCAATGTCCATAAGCCGAACCGACAATGCAAGCCCTGCCTGGACACTGCAGGCGCGGCACACGTCGCATTCCACCTGAGACCCCCCAGCCCTGACAAAGGAGAGGCTGTGAGTCAAAAACAGCAAGCGAACAAACACACACTCGATGCAGCTCAACAAATCAACTGGCAAAGCCCTGCCTGGATCTGGCTGTAGGCGAGGTTGCAGGCGTTGCCCTTTCCGGAGAACGAGTTTTCCTGTCCGTGGATTCTATTGAAGCCCATTTTCATGGGCAGATTGTCCGTCACAGAAGGCCTGACAACTGTTCGATCCCTCAAAGCTGCCGGCAAGAAAGCTCGAATCAAGACTCAGACTGGAAACCCGGTTTCCAGGATATTACGAAGTAGTCCTGCTCATGCTGCATTGCTTCTCTTGACTCCTCAGTTGCAAGTGCAAATATCAGCATCCAAGTCTGGATCTGCGTATTCTTTGCCTTCCTGAGTTCGGATCCAGAAGCAATCCGCTCATGAAAGGCTCCCATGTTCGGAGCTAGGAAAAGAACAATTAGGACAAATGCCAGAGGAAAAACAGCGGGGAAGGAGCAGCCTTCGCATGCCATCAAGGTTGAAACGTGGAAATGCCGGAAGATTGCTCCATCCACGGCTGAAACAGTCGCTTCAGCCAGGGAGGACGGTTAAACCTCCGAATTTGGTCCCCAAACAGCAGACCCTACAGGAAAACGCGCCTGCGCCCACTCGATGCGCTTCTTGCAAGTGCTGGTCTCGCCGTGCAGCGTGCAGGCCGCCTGCGTGTGATCGGAATGAGGTTTCCTGGGTGTGTGTGTGTGTGCTTTTGTGAGGCTACCCCTTTCCTTTGCCTAAGGGAAACCAAGAGGGAGAACCATTCTCGGTTGTTGGACCCTTAAAAAGACACACCCTGGGTCATCGGTGCTGCCCCATGGCGCGCTCCGAAACCGATCCCGCTTCCCGAGGCCCCCCCCCCTCTTTTTCATGCACTAGAAGCACACAGGAAGAGTACAAGCAACGCGTGGCCCCGCAGGATTCGTGCTCTCGACTCTTGTGATCTGCGAGCTGCAGAATGGCCCGGCCTCGCAGCCCAGAGGGGACAGAGTCGTTGCCGGGCAGCCCAGCTGGAAGTGGCCGCAGCAGAAGTCGCCTTCCCATAGGATGCTAAGGCGTGGATCCAGCATTTCTTCCCTTTTCTTGCGGCGGGCTAAGAACTCACACGCGGAAAATGTGTCTAAGGGCCATGTTCTTGGATCAAGGTTGCAAGCTCGGAAGAAAAAAAAAACGCCCGTGTCTCCGGTTTCTTGAGAACTCCCCATGCAACAGATCGAACCATAACTCGGGCGCCGGGCTCTTGTCCTTGGACCAGGTGTGCAGATCCTCGGCCGGGTCTGGGCCACACGAAAGCGCCACCCGGAGCTCAGAGAAGAAACATATGAAATGAATTATATGCCGGATGTATCTTGTGGTGGCTGACATCATGATTTGAGCGGGAGCTCAACTCATACCCTTGAGGAGATTTGGGACATGGCTTTGCCGATCGTCCTCACCAGCCAACCAAGAACAGCTCTGAGTATCTGGCACCCGCATCCTTGCCGTGGCAGTGGTACTGCACACAGAACTTGTGGTCGTTGTGCTGACAGCAGAAGTCCTTCTTGTGGGCAGACCTCGGAGCCGCACATGCCCAAAGGCTGGAAAGCCCCGGGTGCAAGCGGTCGCAAAGCTGTCAGAGGTGCGACCAAGGCAATCTGTCGATCACCACTTTGATCGGTGAAAAAGCTGTGGAATTGAAAGCGTCAGCCATTTCTCAAGCCCCTCACGGTCCATGTCATCACAGACTGGCCAAAATTTGGCCAAGAGACCAGCCCTGCTCCCAGTTGGAGACGCCAGCAGCGCAGTCATAGCCGCCGTGGCCGACGTGGACACCGTGCTCCACGTGGACGACCTCAGCTGTACAAGCGTCAAGCCACTTGAGCATCACCGGTCCATGTGATTCCCTCCACTCCATAGCCAAGCTTGCCGTGCAACGATATCACCCTGCAACCAGTCAAGTATTTACGAGCTGCTGCATGCGTCTGAATGCATGCAGAAAAGGAAGAGGCACCTGTACGGTTGCGGCCAACTTGGGTGGCCTTTCTTTGCATCCTCCGACTTAAACTGCTAGTCAGTGCCGGATCACTCTAACAGAACGCGCCAAAAACTTCGTGCAGAGTACAGGTTTCGTAGTTCTTCTCCTTCTTTGCCAATCACCAAGCAATCAAACCTGGGCCAAGCCACTGCATGTGCGTGCCAGTGGCCGTGCCAGCTTCCTGGGCAGCCCCTGTTCTCATGATCCTGGCAGAGTCTCGGAGCAGGTCAAGCTGTACTCGCTTGAAAAACTGAGGGATTGAGATGGCAGAGGTTCTGTGCGCAAAGGTTCTTCTAATGGTCGCGGCCGCTCAAATCTGTGTAACATGGCTTATGATCGTTACTTACCCAAGCAATCAGAGGAGTTGAAAGAATACCAAAAACAGTCTCAAATGCACTATATATTCACCACTTATCAGCTCAGAACACAGAACGAGGAGGGTCACTCAAGCAACCTGAAAAATGCCAAGAACCGAGTGTAGACAGGACAACCAGACTCGCCCTCCGGAGACAAATAGCATCACTCAACCTCAACTTTGCCGGCCGCACGCAGCACCAGCCCTTCTTCGCGTCCGACCAGCCATGGTACCAGTTGGAGAAGCCAGCATCACAGTTCTTAGAGCACACATGCTGGCACGCTGGACCCACGTGCTGCATGCCTTCCCAAGGGCTCAAGGGTCAAATCCGGCATTGAAATCGCAAGCAGGGCTGATGTGGTCACCGAATCTGTTCAAGATCCCAAGATCTTCGAGAAGGCCATTGGCAAGGGAGTGGTCAGATTCACGGGCCTATTTTGCATTGGCGGCACTGTCAAGGACTAGCACGGACTTGCACTGATCCTGAAGCAAAACATCTGGAGTTGACTTGTGGCTTGGGTGCGTACATTCACAAGCAAAGGACGCGGCATACAAAGCTCTGGTGTGCCTTGCCAAGCTGCATAGTGTGTCGTGTGGATCACATGCACCTCCTTGACCCAGCTGCCAGCGCAGCCCACGTTGTGATGATCGCAGCACCAGCTCTGCCTGAAGGCGCAAGGTACAAACTTGCTTCGGGCAATCTCAGTGTGGCGGACACTCCTGTTTGAGGGTTTTGTTCAGTTGCCAAGGTGTTCTGTGTGAGATACAGACCAGTGCAGTCTCAAAAAAACAGCACAAAGTAGGCAAGCCCATCAATGCAAGGCTGCCGGCAAGTGCACGGTCCGACTTCGTACCACAACGTTAGCAGCGCCCAAGACCATTCACGTTTGGTTCTACCAAAATAGTTGTAAAGGGTTTTACAAGCCATTTAGCCAGGCATTGGACCCATCTACTAAGATGGGGGGTTTGGATGCTCCTCACATAAGCCCTCTGTCCAAGACATCAAACATGCCATATCTTGTACAAGCTGCTTCGTGTGCGACCAGATGCTGTGCCAGTGGTCCACGCCACTGTGGCAATCCTTACATCCGCAACTTGCAGCTCCCAGGAGAAAAAACAAAAAATATGCCATATGTTGCCTGCAGATCTTCACAGCGTGTCTTCCTTGCTCTGCTGGCTCCTTGTTTCCTGGCAATTGGTGAAACTAGGGAAGAGTTGAGTCTGCCTCTTTGAGGGCACCCCCTGTTTTGTGGGTTGAAAGAAACCAAAAGGAAAACCAACAAGTGTTTTTTGTGGGGTCCCCAAAAAACACACACACACCAGCACGCATCAGGCAACAATTTCACCAAGACTCAAAGCTCACGGCGCAGCCCACGTGGTAGTGCGAGCAGCACCAGCTCTGCCTGCCAGATAAAACGACCTCTTTTCAGGGTGTCTCAATGTGAATCCTTGGTGGGTTCTCCAAATCCGGAGTTTACCACAAGGCCTTCTGGGCTCGAGAAAGTCACCTGACCACCCTATCCAAGACATACCCAACAATGCCCTCTGTCCAAGCTGCTGCTGGGCCGACCAAGTGCTGTGCCAGTGGTCCACGCCGCTGTGGCAATCCTTAAATCCGCAAGTTGCAGCAAAACCAACACAAAAGCTCTCTGCCACGGTTTGCTCATAGATGTTCGCCTCTCGTCTTCATTGCAGCGTCTTCTTCTTCTTCTTCTTCTTCTTCTTCTTCTTCTTCTTCTTCTTCTTCTTCTTCTTCTTCTTCTTCTTCTTCTTCTTCTTCTTTTTCTTCTTCTTCTTCTTCTTCTTCTTCTTCTTCGTCTTCTTTTTCTTCTTCTTCTTCTTCTTCTTCTTCTTCTTCTTCTTCTTCTTCTTCTTCTAGTACCCTATCTGTTGACAAGCTGGTGAAGGTAGGGAAGAATTCGTGCCGGTGCTCAAGAATACTATTTCACCAAGGCTCATAGCTCTCATCCTGGACCGTGTTCCAGACAGTGTGGTAGTGCGTGACAACGTGAGGCGGCGTCGGCACCGGCACGGGCACGTAGTGGGCTCAGCGCGAGCATAACAACTCTGGAGCTCTGATCTGCCGGGGTAGCAAGTCTGATGGCCCAAGATATGGCATCTTGGATAGGTTGAGAAAGTCACGGCTCGTATCGTTTCATCTCTCAACACGAGCCGTTGGAACAAGAAGTCACCAGTTGACCGTTGAAGCATTGGCTCTTGGCAATCAGTGCCTGGTGTTGGTCGCTCAGATTCACAACCCAAAGGTGCAATTCAGTTGAGGCAGGAGTCAAAGCTGGGCGAATGGGATGTCATCGTTGCCTCAATGGAACTCCAATACAAGTACAAGAAGACTTCTTCGAGCGTGTTACTTAGATCTCTTCAAGGCATTTCATGGTACATGACAGAACTACTGCAAGTATTCTTGGATCACAACACAAATCATGTCTCAGCCAGACTGACCCGTCGTCAAAACCCTCATAGAGTCGCATGGAATGGTTGCCATTTTTTTGTGTGTGTGTGTGCACTGCCCAAAGGCAACGTTTGGCGAAGCAAGCTCACCATCCCCAATCAGATCGGGTCAGTGTGCCCGAGACGTTTGCCAAGCAAGCATCGGAATCCTTGCCAACAAAGCACCTTCACTTTATCTCAAAACCCGCAAGACCAAATCCGAGCTCCTGTCTCTGCTTTGCCAAGACGGCAAAGCTCCAGGCTGTTCCGCCCAGCCGACTCTCCATTCACCGAGGCCAATTGGAGCTTCCGTGAGGCCCAGGCTGTGGCCTGGTACTGGCACCGGGATCTCCTTCTTCACGGTGATCACCTGCCGACAAAAAGGCCCCAGAGGCGGACCACGCCCAAAGACCCAGTGACTTGTCGTCCGGAATGTCTTCACAGTAAGCCCAAACAACCCCCACCCCCCCCCCCACCCCAAATTGCTCAGCCTCTGAAAAGCGACCAGGGAACCATGCTCAGATTACGAAGCTCATATGTTTCTCGGCCTGCAGGTGGTGTCCTTCTCGGTTCCCTGTACAAACCCCAAAGCGGGGTCCCCTATTTTGAGCAACAAATGGAAATCAGCCCATCCCATATGGCTCCGGTGGCTGCGAGCCGATTTCCCGACGCTTTCCGCGAAACCCCCGTGGCGCGCCGAGGGCGGCTGCGGCACGGGGTAGGGCACGTCCACCGGCACCTTGACCTCACTCACCCCATGTGGGTGTATCTCCAAGAACCCAAAAATCGGTCTCCCTTCCAATTGCACCTACCCTGGAAACAAGGTAGACCCATGGCTTTCTGAGACACAACACACTCTACTTGAGGGGGCTCAGCAACACCAAAAATTTTCGGGAGTGTCTGAAAGAGACATGCCAGAAACAGGTCCCTCCTCCATGGCTGGCAACTTTCCATCTTGCCAAGTCGTGGAGATCTTTCGGACTGAAACGCGAGCTCCGGCCAATTCTTTCTCCGATCATGTGATTAAAGGTATAGGCAGCCTGGTGTAAGGCCGCCTGCCACGGGGGCGGCGTTTTAGCGCCCCGGGCGTTTTAGGCGTTTGGGGGGGACCTTCCAAGCCATCCTGCGGACAGGCCTCCGGAAGAGGGAAAACTCCTGGCCAGCCCGCTGGACTTGGCTGGTAGCGGAAGGATCAAAATGTGGCCCTCCGGCCCGGATGTTCACCGCAGACTTGTGCGCAGTAATTCCTTGCACTGTACAGACCTTCCCGGACACAGCTCCGTCTCCTAACTAGAACTCCGGGGCCCTTTGAATTGCTCCCCGCGAGCCGCGCGGGGCGCCGCGAAGGCCTACGCGACCCGCGCGGGCGCCGCGAAGGCCTACGCTCCCTGCATCTTGCTCTTCAGGGAAGGCGCCAGAGAGCCCTCTGCTGCCACCAGCTTGGCCTGGGCAGGGCTGGCGCCCAGGAACCTCGGCCCGCGCGGAGCTGGGAGCGAGCCGACTGGCGTCACAGGATGTCCATGGACCCGCCCGAAAACTCCAACAATGCCCCCCCCCCCCTCAAAAACAAATAGAGGAAAGGCGGCTTGACCCCGGTGAAAATTTGGGTACGGTCTGAGGTGGACACAAGTCCAACCCTTTTAGGGGGGGCTCCCTACGTAAGAAATACGTTGATAACACGGAACAGGATCCATCTTGCGCATGGTGACATGGCCAGCATGCATCAAAAAGCCAAGGTAACGGAAGGAGACATCAATCTATCCAAGCCAAGAGCACACAGACATAAATGCCGGATGTGGGGGTAAGAATGGCTTCATGCACAAAGCCAAAGCGCAAATGAATTCCCAAGCAACATCTGAATGATAATCGACACTGTAAACAAATCAACAAAAGTTGGACCACGCGATATCACTACCCACGAAGATATCACCAACCGCTCCCAAGGATTGTTGACTGCACCATTGAACGAAGCGCACGGCGACCACTCAATGCCAGCGTGCAATTCGGATCCCCGACTTGCCGCAAGAAAGCCATCGGATCTAGAAATTCTTGTTGCTTCCCCTCTTCGCCCAAGGACTGGCTGGTGCGATAGGCAGGGAATGAGACGTGGAATGACCCCCTATAAACAATCCAACTGGTGGTTTCCTTTATGCGGGAATCCCAAAGCGGTTCACTCCCCCACACCCGGACTTGCCGTCATTCCCTACCTATCGCAGCCCCCCAGCAGACCCCGAACCCTGCAGCCATGGCGGCTCCACTCGCCCGGTCTGCAGGTCGTACACGCCGCCCTGGATCTCCAACTCCCCGCTGCGAACCTGCCGCGAGGCGCCACTTCCGTGCTCCAAGAAAAGCACCCGGCTCGTTGTGTGCGTGTGCGGTGCGTCATTTTGTGGCTCTTGCCTTTGTATTTTTGCTTGTGTGCTTTGCAGCTGGTCCTCCGTGCATGTTTGTATGTGCTGTTGCGTGCTTCGTAGTGCCTACATGCGTGCGTCTTTATGTGTTCGTGTGTGCAGAGTCTGATCTTTGTCGCTTAAGCAAAGCCATGTAGTGGCGTCCCCGGCCTTCTGGCGGATCGGCTCGCTGTGCCTGGCCGCCAGCCAGAACTATGCGCCCATCAAAAAAGCTGTTAGTGAGCACTTAACTGTTTAAATGAGGCTCCCGAAGCTCATTTCATTCATATCCACAGAGAAAAACAAGGGCGATGACAGTGCCGCTGGAAGAATTGCAAATCAAAAGCAATCCCTTTTATTCTGTGTCCGCTGACTTTGTTTTAGCATTGACTCAGCACCTTGGAGAAAAAGAAAACAACACAAAGGTCCAACCACATGCTTGAATCAACTCTGATGCCCCTCCCACAACAACCTCAGGGAAGATCTGCGAGTCAATGATGAGACCAATCAAAAACATTTTTTACAGCACATCTTTGGCGCACGCCTTGGTTCGGAGCAGGCAGCTCTTTCCAGAGGCCCTTTATGCCGAAGGCCAAATTGGACAAGGGAATGCCCCGCCAAAGCGACAAACCCTTTGCGTAAGCCGACAAAAAAAAAAAAAAACAGGGCATCGGCCGTGAGAGAAAGTGCCCCTCGCACTCATTTTGTTTTCCCGGGCGACTTCCGCGCAGTGACACTGCGGCCAGGGTGCTTCAGCATGAAGTTAATGGTGTGGAAGACGTTGAGTTTCACTGCGTGGGCGGCAATCTGCTCCTCGGTTGCCTCAAACGACATCCGAGAGACGTCTGGCACTTCAGTGATCCCGATACAAACTCGAGATTGCTTTGCGCGAGCACCACCTTGCCCTGGGCGTGGCTTGTCCAAACAAAGTGCAACATAAACCACTCACAAAACTTGTGGTTTCCCAAAGAGCGCGCGGAGAAAAAAGAAAAGAAACAAAAGTGCATGCCCCCCCCCCACCCCCACGTACTTCTTGTGGCCGATCCGTGTAGGCCCGCCGCGCCCTCCTCAAAATCACATTGTTACGTGGCCAACCTTCTCATGCATCCGTTGACGAGAAGGAATTCCCAATGTAAGGAGGGCCCTGATGTCCTCGGGCACAAAGCTGCTAGTGTCACGCACGGGGACTAGCCACCGCAACTTGCCACGTCCTCTTGGGAAACAACAGGGGTGCGTCTTGTTTCGAGGCCCCCCCCCCATGTTCGGCAGTTTTGAAGGCAAAACAAGAGTCGACTCCAGTGGATGGACGAAATTCAGGAAAGCAGTTGTAGCCCCGCATTTGACGATGCGTACAATTGTAGCCAGCGACCCTCCAGAGTTGCACAGACTTGTGCTCTTGGAGCCCTGCAGAAAGGGGCCGACAGCCAGAACTTCAAGGCGCGCGCGAATCGAAAGCCAAGGCTGGAAGAAAATCATTGAAGTTCAGAGAGTGAGAATTGACACCAGCCAAGGTTGGGAGTGATCCCCTTTGGAGTGGGCCTTGCGAGAGTGAGTGGTGATTCAAGGAAGCGAGAGGGCTTCGTGCCAACAGAGCTGTGAGCAAAGTGATGGTCTGACAGTGGGCTTAAGCTCGACGAACGCTCCAGTTTCGGACAGATGACGCAGCCCTCCTTCGGTCCTTCGGTCCTTCAAAGCTCGCTGGCTTCCGATGAAAGAAAAAAACGCGCGGCCACCGCCCTGGGGGCTCGCCGGGCGAGCATCTCCCTCAGCCGCCCTGGTTCGGCAGGAAAACCTTCTGACTCCCACAGCCAACATAATACAACAGCGCGGAAGAAGACGCATTGTGTGGTCCGAACTGTTGTTTTTCTTCTCGCGTGGTTCGGACCTTGAGAAGCGTTCTGGCATCATATTCGGAGCCCCTTCTGATTCTGACAACACCGCAGTTCTTCTGGGGGCGACAGTCACAGGCTTCCTTCCTGATCAACTCAAGGCATACACATACAGTCCGAATAAATATATATATATATATTATAGGTATATATATATCTCACTTTTCTCGCCTTCATGCTGAGATTCCCTGTCAACCTCTGGAAATGTATGTCAGCCGGCTGCACTGTTCCAGTGGGATATTCAAACAAACAAACAACGAGCTGCACAAGGCTTGCTGCTAAATTCAGCAAGTTTGGCTTTGCCATTGTGGCCTTGTCAGCTATCCGCCAGCTTCCGGGAGGGCGGGCTGGGCAAGAAGCTGGAGCCGGCATTTCTGGCTCTAGCATGAGATAATGCGCATCTCACTTTTCTCGCCTTCATGCTGAGATTCCCTGTCAACCTCTGGAAATGTATGTCAGCCGGCTGCACTGTTCCAGTGGGATATTCAAACAAACAAACAACGAGCTGCACAAGGCTTGCTGCTAAATTCAGCAAGTTTGGCTTTGCCATTGTGGCCTTGTCAGCTATCCGCCTTCGATTTACTGCGCTGCAAGCACATGATGGAAAACGCCGTAGCATCGTTCTTCAAAGTAAAAGATTCGGCGGGCTCGCACAGCCGAACTCAGACTGTGCAGTAGCACTTGCGCAGCTACTTCTTGTAAGTAGAATTCAAGTGTTTTCACTCTGGCCCAACGGCCGCGCCAGGCGATGAGCGAAATATCTTCCGTTTGCAGGTACAGGTGCGTGGCACCAGAGCCACGTAAAACACCAGGAGTCAATCCATGCTCTGCCTGTCGATGCGGCAGGCCTAAATGTTTCATGATGGAGTTCCACTGGCTTTTGTAAGCACCTGGAGAAGCACTGTACAGCTTTGCGTCCAAATGGAGGCCAGAAAAGAGAGAGTCAACAAAAAGGATTATATCAGGATCAGAGATCTTCACATGTTGACGTCGGGCAAATCTGGCAGTTTTCGGGTTCCGTAGATGAACATACAAAGCTGACACGGAAAAGTTTGTGTCTCGTGGCAGCATGAGATCTTGCCGCCGAAGGGTCAAGAACTCTCCCGGATGCAACATTCCGGCGAAGCCAATCATCGTTACAGTGGCCCATTGAACCCACCCCCAGAGCATAGCCACACACAAGGCTGCGCGCAAAACAGGGGCTGAAAGGACGGCCCTGCAGCGGCCAGGCTCGGCACGCTGCCACTTTGCGTCAACTTGCCAAGCAGGTGCAAGGTGAACCCTGTGCTGAGGAAACTCATCCTGAATTCCCGTGATAGCGTACACCAGAAGATATCTAGGTAAGCCAGACTCGTAAAGGTGCTTGCCGTAACCACGAAGAGCAAGTGCACAAGTTTCCCCGGAAAGGCAAACTCTGGCAAACGAGATCTCAAGCTCAGTCTCCACCCAACGCCGAAAAGCTGCCACGCACTGCTCCATGCGCCGGGCTGTGGCTGGCGCAAAGCCGGTGCCCAAATCAAGAGGCCCTCGCTCAGGCCGAGGCGCGGGGCCAGGGTTTCGCTCTATGTCCCCACCAAGGAGAAGCAGCAGGCGCAGCCATCGGGCTGCCAACCGTGGCACACGGCTGCTTTCCACGTGAAGGTCGAACATTTTGGCGTCACCTTTGCAAAGGGATGAGTACCACAAAGGAACCTGCTTTGAGGGGGGCTCAACGTCCCGGCCACGAGATGGAGCATCAGCTCGGTTGTTGGCCGAATAACAGTGCAAACCGCCTGGGTAAAGACCCCCGCCAATAAGGTAAGGAAGTGAGGTTTTCAACACCCGGCTGATGGCATAGCTGCTGGAACGACCTTTAGCATTGGCACCTAAAGCGACCCGACTGTCTATAAGGGCAACTAATCTACTATCAGGGTACCGCTTAGCACACATCTTAAGCCAGGATTTTACAACACGACACTCGAGCACATTGATATGCCCAGGCTTGCGAAAAGTAAAACGGTAGAGTTCCCTGAAAGGTAGACTCTCACACAACTCGCTGATCCACTCTGGGTCCTCATGTCGAGGACGGGGCACGCACTCCTCATCTGACCCAATCTGCAAGGGGGCAAAAGGAAAGTCAACCCCCGCCGCCAAACAAGACTCAAGCTGCTTTTGAAATGGCATTGGGCGAGCCCCGTGAGCCTTGGCCAGGGCGCTTCCTGCCGCCATGCGCCTCATCAAAGGCAAGGGATACTGCGCTGCGTATGCAGCCACAGACTCGCCAATCCTCGGCAAACGGCCGTACACGCCGGCTGCGTGAGGTCGGCATTTTAAGTCAAAAGCCTGGATCGAATCTTGCGCGAATGTGCCGGACACTGTAAAATGCTTTCCTTGAAAAGGACACTGGCAGTTACCTTCTAAGTCAACCAGCCAAGGCTTGTTGTGCAGCCACTGCGACGACTTGTTGAAGCCGCTGCCAAAGTTGCAAAACGCAAGCCGGCTAACCACGCAGCCCATGGAGACCAAAAGTCGAAAACAGTGCATGTGAAACATCACTGAAGACCCCGGTTGCTCGCAACTAAAGTAACACCCTGTTTGGAGCGCCAGCATCCCGATAAAGGCGATTCGTCGAGCTAGCTGGGTATGCAGTCCGGCAGCCTCCCGCAGGCCAAACCCGGACGGGCACTTCCTGGAGCGCACACAAGGCTGACGCAGCGCGCCGAAGGAAAGACTGGGCGGCCCGACATGAATTTCGCGGGCTACTCTACGCAAAATGAGGGCAGCAACTTGCCGCGCAACATGTTGCTCTGAAATGTCAGCAAAGCGCAGTCGGCCACCTTGCACATAGATGCCATTGTGCACGCTGAGACCCTGCTGTGTGTGACACTTCGACCAGTGTTCTGAGCCGCTGAAAAGTTCAAGGCAGTCGTACAAGTACCCTTCATGCAATGTGGCAGGGACAGATGGCTGTGTCACACAAGATGCAGACACCTCCTGAGAGCTCAAGGGGGCAAAGAGTTCTTCAACGTCATTGCTTAAGCCTAGTTCCCGAAGAGTGGCGCTGGCTGGGGGCAACAAAGTTGTGTAACAACCCCGTTGTTCTGTGTGCCTCCAAAGTTCGCGCGTGGCTTCGGGTGTGGACTTTGCTGCAACAACGCCGCCGCCCGACGGGCTGGCATCAAGAGCAAAAATTTCAGGGCAGTAGCCGGCCTCAAATCTGCTTGCGCGCAAGGTGCGAGAAGGCAAAGCGTCATTAGCTCACTAATGGCCTGACGGGTCATGCAAAAAGTGCTTGTCGGGCTGACGCCCTTACCTTCGTGGAACACGGCATCCATTAAGGACAGAAGCGGACGACGAAACATCACTACATGAATCCAACAACCTATCAAGCAGCTGAGCAGCTTGGGGGTGCAGGTGCCTTTTGCGCAAATCACGGCCGTGATCAAGCAGAGCAAATGCACACGGCCCCGCGGGGCACACACGCGACCTACGACCCCGTCAAAGTCAGCGCCGAGCAAAGTTCCGACGGTCTCATTGCGCCGCCTCTTTTTGGGGTGTGATTTCAGCCCAACACGCTCGTACGCTGCGTTGGCCTCGCGGAAGACTAGCGAATCACGCAGCTCGGGCTGAGATGACAACACAGCAGTGGGCACGCGCTGTACACCTATGTGGTCATCTATGGCGAGCAGTTCGATGAAGTCACTGCGAGGCACTGGCTTGCGATACTCTAAGACTTCGTGGTCCCTCATAGACCCGGCTTCGAGTTGCAAAAGGGCGTGATGGCTTCCCTGCGCGATTTCGACTGCGTGACCATCACCCATGGCGAGTGTGGCAAGGCAAGCAAAGACGGGGACACCTTCCAAAGCAGGCGAGTAAGCTCGGAGGCCACAGACCTCGTGGGTTTGCAATACTACACCGACGGCGTTACGGCGGGCACGCGAGAGCGGCACTTGGAACGTATAATAAAAGTCCGAGAGGTCATCAGCGCAGAACCTAAAACTTTCATCGGAGCGTAAGCTCAGCAAGGCAAGCAAGCAACCTGGGGCCAACCTACGAGTGTAATTGCTGTAGGGGAGCATTCGTGAATTGACAACAGTTGGGTTGATGATCAACCTATCAAACTCACTATCTTTGCTCACCGCGAACAAGCCTACGGCCTCCTGGCGGTCAATCTCACTACACGGCACTAGGACACATGCGCCAAACTCGTCCCACTTGTGCACCAGCTTTAAGAACTCAGATCGGCTACAGTGCACCCTCGCGCGCTTCTTTGAAGGCCAGGACTCCGGATCCAGACGAAGGCTGTCAGGCTCGCGAAAGACGGAAGCAACAACCGGATCCAGCAAGTAAGGGGAAGGGTCGAAACTCGGCGGGCACTTCCATTTGATGCGGCTAGCTACTACGGGCTTAGAGACCAAGGAAGGCAAACGCACACTTGCTGGGTCTAGACGGCACTCCTGGTGTGAAGCAGCATGCTCTTCCGCGGTTTTGCTAAAGTGTGGCTCTGCTTGATAGTAAGAATCAAAATGATGTCTGATGTCATGCAACAAATTAAGGAGGTCCACATCCTGGCAGCGCTCAGGCAGTTCCTTCGCAGCTTGCAAAATGGCAGCAAATTTTTCCCCGGTCCGGCCAAGGTCTTCGACTTGGAAAGCCGGGCAATGCAAAAAATGTTCCACAAGACCTTCGATGCGAGCGACCACTTCGGTCTGTGATTCTGACAGCGGTTCTCCCGCCTGTGCTCTTTGAGGGACTTCCGATGGATAACCAAGACAAATCCAGTTCAAAGTGCAGATCACATGCTGGGCAAGAAGGGCTTTGCACTTGTGGTATTGCATGCGCTTACGACCCCGGGGGCCGGGATGCACTTGGCCCGTCCATCTCCACAAAGGCGGGGGAACAGGCCACAAGGGACACCGCTCAGCAGCACGTGTCTCCACACGGCGAGACTTCCACGCAGGCTGTAGCGCCATACGAATGAAATTCTGAAGGCAACCACGCCGCTGCTTCAAACAACGTAAACATGCAAGGGCTAATTTAACAGGCCGGAGGAATTGCGAGTCAGGGCGGCCATCCTGACCAAGGGTAGGATCGTTGTTGGGGCTTGACTTCAAAGGGTTGTTGGCCCCGGCCGGAAAGGAGTGAACACCCCAAAGACTCGAGTCAAGGCCCTTTGCAACACCCTGTCCTCTGCTTAGCCGCCGAGCTCCTGATTGCCAGCTGCCTTTCCCCCGCCTTTCGGCTTCTTCTGCTTCCACCTCGGCCTGTGCAAGCTCTCCTCTTCGTCGCCCTCGTTCTTGGCTGCGTCGGCACCGGCCTGCCCCTTGCCTTTGCCGCCAACCCCGATCTGTCTCAGGCGGCTCTCGAAGGTGTCGATGTCCTTCAGGAATGAGACGTTGGCAGCAACCCAGGCTGGGGCCGGCAGTCGAGCAAACGGTGTGAGGCCCGGTCGTCGCCGGTTGATCGCTAATTGCTGGTAGTTGGGCTCGGCAAGCCCCGTCATCAGCCATGCCAAAGCTGTCCTGCCCTGGTCGAGGGTCGCCTGCTCCACATACACCAAGGCACGGGCTATGAAGGACAGCATCTGTGTGTTTTTGGTGCGGTCCGCCTGCTCCCAGCCCCACGCCAAGATCACGCCAAACTGGGTGAGGGTCTTGTGGTCTCCCAGAGCCATTCTTTGCTCCACGTACTGGCGCATCAATGAAGGCTCTTCGCGGTCCTCGCTCACGCCTAGCTCGTTCCGAGCGTTCTTGCGCACAACCTCCACCACTTTGGCCTCGTCCTCCAGCTGCCGCAGAAACACTTCTCGAGCAGCGTAGCCCTTGACTGTGACTCCACCGCCAGAGCTGCCGCTGGCGCTGTCCGCGCCTGTGAGAAGACCGTGAAAAGGGTCCGAAGGGCGTTGAAGCAACTGCTGCACAAGAGCATTGGTCTGCTGCATCTGCAACAGGAGCATCTTGTGGATTGGGTCCGTCACAGCTCCCGAGTCGGTCGGCAGGTTCAAGTTCTCCGCATCTTCTGCTACCTCGAACTGTGCCTCGGCAAAGGCTGTGGCGCTGGGCGTCGGCCTCTCTGCAGGGGCCGCAAACCTCTCGAAGCGCCCTATGCGGCCTGGAGGTGGGCCAGCTGCTGCCTTGAGCTTGGACAGCTCTCCAGGTGTCAGAGGCTGACTCTGGCTGCTGAAGAGCATTCTTGGGGCCGGCCCACCGCCCCCTGTTAAAGGAGCAGCTGGAGCAACTGTCTCCTCCGCCCGCGACTGTAGGGCGCCCTCGAGACGGCTGATGCGCTCCAGCAGCGCCTGCACAGTCGGGTTCACTGGGTCGTTGGGGACCAGCTCGTCCTCCTCGTCCACAAGGCCACCCTCGTCGGCGTCCTCCACGCCCGTCTGGTACTCGGCAGCGGTGTCGAGGTCCAGTACTTCTGCTATCCACTTTTCGGCTGCCTCCAAAGCAGACTGCGACTGCGGGCGGCAAGCGGCCCCTGCAACTTCCAGACGCACTAGCTGAATTGGAGAGTTGCGAAGCGCAGCTGCCCTGCGAAACAAACACAGGTAACCCCAAGGTAAGTCTGCCATGAGCACCCGCAGCTCGCCAACCGCCCGACCTCGAGAAGACTCCATCTGCACCATTGTGGGCTCCATAGCCGCAGCCGCCTCGTCTTCTTCCGGCACGAAGTCTCGCAAAGTCCCAAGAACCTTGGGATCGTCTGGGAGTAGCACCATGAAGCCGCCAGCGCGACACCGCAGGAGATAAGCCACCGCCCTCCAGGCGGCTGGCTCTGCCCCATCCACAAGGTGCAAGGATGGCAGAAGGGCCCCGAAGCGAACGGTTGCAGCAGTTGACTGCACGAAGTCTGCTGTCAAGGCGCCTCTCACGGCAGCCATTCTCTGCTAAGCCGAGGGAAGTCAAGGGTCTTCTACGCATGCACAGCCAAAACTCGGTGGAGCCTCCTCACTGGGCCTCACTGCTCGTGAACGTACTCGGCAAACCGGGCACGAAGCTGGGGCAGGCGGGGGATCTGGTCGTCGCCCACCCAAAACAAGTGGATCAGGACCACAACTAAGCGCCCGCAACCTCGCCTGCAAGCGCCAGACAAGAAGATCGCAGTGGCGATGGCCCCACAGCAGGCTCCGCAGCAACAGCCCAGGAGAAGCGCTGCAAACAAGCAGCTCAAAGGCCACCCCGGGCCAGCTATGGCTGGCGTGTAGAACCACAGGCGGGCTTCCCGCAGGAAGTCGAGCGCTACAGGGAGCCCGGCCACCATGAGCCAAGAAGCTGGAGCCGGCATTTCTGGCTCTAGCATGAGATAATGCGCATATGTGTGTATCTTATAAATATGTATATATGTGTATGTACATATGTGTATTATTTATAACATATATAGATATATATGTCTAAATGCGAATATCTAATATCTAATGTGTAATGTAGGCTTTCAATTAACAGGCTTCGGCCGCTTCTCCCCACTTCGACTCTTCGGCCGCCTTCTTGCCCAACTCGTTCTTCGCGTCGGAGACCACCGCGCCCAAGCCCTGCAGCAAGGCATCCAGCGCCTGAGGTGCCTGCGGTGAGATTCGCGAGGCAAGGAGCAGCAGCTTTGGGCTTGTGATTTGGGGAACCCAAAGGAAACCAAGCATGTTCATTGGTGTATGCTTTTGTTGTTTTCTATTTTTAGAAGAAGAAAAATGGTTGTAAATCCAAAACGAAGGTGTTGCAACATGTTGGGCCGTTTTGAAAAACATCGTGTTCGACGACCAAGTACGCGGATGCGAAGTGCCGTGAGTGCCGCAACTGCACATATCTTGCTTGAAGGGAGCAGCAAGACAGGTAAGATGGTGCTCACGGGAAAATGTTTGCCTGAATGAAGCGCCATCTTGTGCCATAGTCAGCTCTTTGCAGCAAGTGGAGACAAACGATGCCTTGCCTCTCATCTCCAGACACACCCTGATCCAAATGACAACATCGCAGGAAGCTGGGCCAGGTCCTCCTAGCTTTGCCCTTCCACCAACGTTCATCTTGTGCAAGGATCCTTACATTATACACCTGAACATTGCCTTGTAAATGGTGGTTTCCCTTGATTTTGGTGGAAAAAGCCATGCTTCAAATGGGCAAAATGTATCTGTTGAGGAGCCCTGTCGTGCATGGAAGAGTGAATGGCTCCCAAGCAGTTGAGACAACTGAGTCACACCCCTTGCCCCCAGCCCCTTTCTCCTTCCCCCCTTTCCGCAGCCCCCGGCACAAAAACGAAAGTCGGTCGGTCACACCCCTTCCGCCCAGCACCCCGCCCTTCCCGCAGCCCCCCATCCCCTCCAGCGCCTTCTTCTTCTGCTGGGACAGGAAGGTGGAGGTGGCGCCCTTGATGGCGCCGCAGCTGGTGTGGCCCAGCACGAAGACCAGCCGAGTCTTCAGCGGCCCCGTGCAGAACTCCAGGCTGCCCAAGACGCTGCCCTCCGCGTGCGTGCCTCGCAAAGCTTGGCCCAAAGCAGGGCCTCCATCTTTTGACTGTTAAAAGGTGGACTTAAACCCAGTGGTTGAAGTCCCTCCACATGGCAACCCCAGGGATTAAGTCTACCTTGGGCAGTCACAAAGTGGCACCCTGAGGCTTTGGGCCGTTCAGGTCCTATGCAAGTGGATGACTTGGTGCTGCACCCGCGCACCTCTGGCCATATGCCCCATGGCGAGCATGTGTTGGGGGGTGGGTCAGCTAAGACCCAAAAAAGGCGCCCCCTTCCCTTGAAATCTGTGCTTTGCTTGCCCACCTGCAAAACGATCCTGGATGCGTGAGTTGGATATTGGTGGTATATCTTCATTCCGTGAAACGCAGAAGCAAACAAAGGGATGGGCAAGGTGCTGCAAGTTGCCCAATAAGTATATGTGCACTTGCTTCACCTTCCAGTGATTGGCTGGCTCCTGGAGAAGTCTCGCAACATGCTCTGCAGCCAGGGGACACGTGTTCCCTGCGTTGCGCAGAACAAAGAGATCGCCAGGCAATGCGTCGAAGACGGTCTCCAAGGGGACGCGAGAATCCGCGCAGCCTGGGACGGATGCGCCGAAGCGCAAAAAACGGCAAAGGATGCGCTGATTGAGAACTGAACCGAAGTTTGTTGGAGAAACTCTTGGAGCCAAGTCCTGTTGATGAGGCGCATCTTTCCAGATTCGTGGTAGAAACCTGGGGTCTCCTTTGGACTGGCAGAGATAAAACTCAATTATGGCACAAGCATTGGGGAGCTTCCAATGTTTTGAAGCTGCCAAGTGAGCTCCCTGGCAGTTTAGCGCTCCAGAATTGGAACATGTCTCCAGAGCCGCATGTGCAGGGTTTTGCCTGTGGCTGATCCTGATCCCACATTGACACTCTCTCACAAAAATTCCATGAAGGTATAGGTGCCTTAAGGAAAGAAAAAAGAAATGCTGCCTTTGACACCATGGTTTCACCATCATCAAAAACCATCCCAAGAGTGGTAGATCAAATCCCCTTTCAGACTTGAATTATCACCCCCTGAAACCGTCCAACTGATGGCTTTGCAATCCAAAGAGATGATACTTAGAAAAGCATCTATGAAGTTCAACAGCATGTCAGACTTCAATAATTCAACCAAAATAATCAACCACTCCAACTGTTCTTTGATGACTTGTTTCCCCGGCGGCGCAGCAAAAGCTCGCGGCTGCCGGTTTTTTCTTCCAGGCAGCCCACCAGCGCGGTGTGAGGTGCCTGCCCCGTGGCCAAGGTCTCGCGCATGCTGCGGTGCACCTTGCCAGCCTTCGGGGCTCCCACCACGAAGCGCTCGTTGCCCACCTGACCGAAGCGAGCGAGCGGAGCGAGCGGAGAGGTGGAGTACCACTTGATGTGTGGCTCTTTCCCTAAGGCAACAAAATTCCTTCAAGGCTTTGAAGAACCCCCCGCAGCTCGTGGCCCCGGGCGTTTCAGAGACCCGGAAGTCGCCTTCAGCAGCTGCAGGGCCGCCTGGGGCGCCATCGGCCCGTCGGCCATGGTCCGCACGGTGCCCAAGGCCATGGAGGGCGGCAGCGTCTCCTGGCGCCGTCGCGTGTCGGGCGTCACGCATCGTCGCACGTCGCGTGGGGTGCAAAGCGGAGGGAGGGAGGGAGGGAGGGAGGGAGGGAGGGCAGGGCAGGGCAGGGCAGGGCAGGGCAGGCAAACAGGGTTCCTTAACAAATACATCCCAAAGCCACCTGCTTTACAAGCGAATCCTCCAGATTCAGCTTCCCTCTACAAGTTTGGATTGGTGCTGTTCCGGGATGGTTTCCCATTTGCCCTCAAGAACCAGTTCAACTCCAACTTTAACCACGGTTACCCTCCATTCCATTCCACCAACAGAAGGCACCTGCAAGGTACCTGGAACAATAATTTCCTCTCGAACAGGGCTGTGGGAAATGGAATCCACTTCTGTGACACAACAAAAAGGGCTTCCCAAAGACGAACCCTCATGATTAGGGGGAGATTCCATAGTGGGGATAAACCCCGAGTGATCCCACAACCCTCTTCTTCAAAAAACTGAGCTGCCATGACAACCAGGGAGACAGGGTAGTCTAAAAATTGATGCTGAAACGAAATGGGCGTCTCAAAACATAGAACCCCCCCCCCCCCGCCCCCCCGCCCCTCCCCCACACCAAAAACATGGCTCTGGCTTTCCCTTTCGATTCCTCCCCACATACACAGCAAGAAGAAAAAAAGTTGCGGTGTCCCTTGAAACTTGAAACCAACCCCCAAAAAGGGTAGCCCCCAGATCAACCCCGCCTCGGCGGCGAGCAGCGCTTGCTGCTGGGGGGACCGGCCCAGGAACTCCACGCGGCCCGTCTCCAGGTGGTAGATGCCGCCTGCCCCCGAGGCGTTTCGGACCCCCAGAAATGGCCGTGATCCCAGCACCATGCTTCAGGAACTAGGAAGGCGGAGATCCGCAACGATTTCTGGCTGGGACTGCCCCTTACTAATCTTCATCTACCCAGGCTTTGATTGTGGCTCACATGGGGCTCCCAATTCCCAAAGAGTCAAATTCGTTTGGAGACTCCTAGCGCCAAGTCCAAGGACTACCTTCAGTGAACATTCACGTTGCTTGATTCAGGGTGTTGACAGAGCTAGAAGAAACAAGAAGCGCTTGCGATTTGCATCGGTGATTGCAGAGATTAGAAGCTCTCGTCATGGCATCCCAGAATGACCGTGCCACCATACAGCAGCTGAGCCTCAAACAGGAATCTCAAGACACAATGAGCTGGCCTTGGATGTCGAGCTCGCCCTTGCGCACAAGCTCCCTCATTGGCTCCGAGTACTTCAGCAAGAAGTTCATGGATGAAAAGACGTTGACCTGCAAAACTGCAACGTCGTGACGAAGGATCACTCTGATGCCCGGGGCTGCTTTCAGCACCCCCCCCCCCCCCCCGCATTGCTAGAGACGCAGATTTCAGAACCAAAACAAGGGCATGATCGAGATATGTTCACGAAAGTTTGTCCTTGATCGATTGTCCTTCAATGCTACCCGTGAAACAATGAGTCGGGCGATACCCCGCAGAGAGGACAGCCCATTCCATTCCTGAGCCGGCCAGCCTGAATTCAATCCATCAAACCATCCTCTAACAACCAAACTCGCGAAGCAAGTCATGGGTTCCTCTCACGGGAGCAACCCAAACCAGCTAGCTGCCCACTTTCGAGAAAAAAATGCACTGTCCAACCATCCAACCGCAGTTTCCCAACTGGTCGCCAGCCTTAATCTCCCCCCCCAGCCACCGTGAGCCCCCCCCCCACCCCCCCAACCACCCACCCTTTGCGCCTTGGTGGCCTTGGCAGTCAGCGCCTCCAAATCCGCGCCGGGGCCCAGTTCCTCGCTGGCGTCCTTGGCCACGGCGGCCAAGCTCTGCAGCAGGCCTGGCTGGGCAACCAACAACACCCACGCGCCATTGTTTGTCCAAAAACACAGAAGATGAAGCAAAACTGCCGCCAACACTGTTCGGGTTTGTTGAAAAGCCTGTGTCTGCTGTGACTACACACACGAGGCGCTCACATATGCTGTTGCCGCCTGGTTTGCAGCCCATCGCCTTCCTTTGCCCGACCGAGGGATTCTCTTGGCTGAGGGCCAATGAGGGCCAGGTAGGTGAACATGAAACAGCTGTTGTCAGTCCATGTCGCCCGATCCCAACCCGGACCTTGCAAATATCACTTCATAATCCCAACCCGCCCATCCCAAGTTGTCCTGCTTCAGGGCGTGTGAATGTGTCTCAAAAAAAGTGGCCCTTCATATTCCTCTATCACCCAAAGGGTACTGTCAAAAAGACACACAAACAAACAAACCAGCAAGCGAGCAAGCAAGCAAACAAGCAAGCAAACAGGCAAGCAAACAAACAAACAAACAAACGAACAAACAGGCAAACAAACAAACAAGTAGGCAAACAAGCAAAAAGACAAACAAACAAAGGAGCAGGCGGACAAGCAAACAAACAGGCAAGCAAACAAACAAAAAGCAGACTGTTCGTGACACCAATCGGCAGCAATTTGTTTGTTGCGCGTGTTTGTTTGCTTGCTTGCTTGCTTGCTTGCTTGCTTGCTTGCTTGCTTGCTTGCTTGCTTGCTTGCTTGTTTGTTTGTTTGCGTGCTTGTTTCGTTGGTTTGCTTGCTTTCTTGCTTGCTTGCTTGCTTGCTTGCTTGCCTGCTGGCTTGTTTGTGTTTTTGTTTGTTTGCTGATTGCTTGCTTGTTTGGTAGCTTGCTTGCTTGCTTGCTTGTTCTTTTTTGTTTGCTTGCTTGCTTGCTTGCCTGTGGTTTCTTGCGTTTTTGCTTGTTTGCTTGCTTTGTTGTTTGCTTGCTTGCTTGCTTGCTTGCTTGCTTGCTTGCGAAGGGGGGCTGTAACCACGACAAAAACGCGATTTTGTTACCATGACAAGGTGCAATTTTACCACGGCAGAAAAAAACGTTACAGCGACATGTTTCTTGCGGGCTTATCCCGACAAGCAGGAAATAGAAATGAACAGGAAGCAATGAGAAGGTCAATAAGAAGGAATGAGAAGGTCAATAGAAAGGAATAAGAAAGTCAACAAAAAGGAATATGAAGGTCAATATAAAGGAATAAGAAGGAATAAGAAGGTCAATAGAAAGGAATAAGAAGGAATAAGAAGGACAATAGAAAAGAATAAGAAGGAATAAGAAGGTCAATAGCAAGGAAAAAGAAGGTCAATAGAAAGGAATAAGAAGGATAAGATCAATAAACGGAATACGAAAGAATAAGAAGGAGAATACAAAGGAATAAGAAGGAATAAGAATGTCAATCAAAAGGAAGAAGAATGAACAAGAAGATCAATAGAAAGGAATAAGAAGGAATACAAAGGTCAATAAGAAGGAATGAGAAGGTCAATGGAAAGGAATAAAAAAGAATAAGAAGGTCAATAAACGGAATAAGAAAAAATAAGAGCTTGCTAGCTTGCTTGCTTGCTTGCTTGCTAGCTAGCTTGCTTGCTTGCTTGCTTGCTTGCTTGCTTGCTAGCTTGCTAGCTTGCTAGCTTGCTAGCTTGCTAGCTCGCTAGCTTGCTAGCTTGCTAGCTTGCTAGCTAGCTAGCTTGCTAGCTTGCTTGCTTGCTTGCTTGCTTGCTTGCTCGCTCGCTCGCTCGCTCGCTCGCTCGCTTGCTTGCTTGCTTGCTTGCTTGCTTGCTTGCTTGTGTTTTGTTTGTTCGCTGGTTGCTTGCTTGGCCTTTGCTTGTTCGTTTGCTCGCCTGCTTGCTTGCCTGCGCGCTTGCTTGCTTGCTTGCCCGCGCGCTTGCTTACGCGGTTGTTTCTTTGTTTGCTTACGCGCTTGTTCGCTTGGCTGCTTGCTCGCCTGCTTGCTGGTTCGCTTGTTTGTTTGCCTGCTTGTTTGCTTGTTCGCTTGCCCGCTCGGCTGCTTGCTTGTTTGCTTGCCTGCTTGCTGCTTTGTTCGTCTGCCTGCGTGTGTCTTTGTTCGCTTGCTTGCTTGATTGCTTACAACACTTGCTAGTTTGTGGGTTTGCTCGCGTGCTGGCTTTGTTGCACACACGATTATTTCTTTGTTTGCCGTTTACTTGCTGGCTTGTTTGCTTGCTTGCTGGCTTTGTTGTTTGTTTTCTGCGCCTTCGCAGCGCAGCCCACGTTAAAATGTCACGCCGGATGAGTTGGTCAATGAACCTGCTGATTGGGCGTGGGCGTTGCAGGCGCAGCGCCTTCCTGCGCCAGCACCTACTGCACACGCGCACGCGGCCTCTTGCTTCACAGCGGCGGCTGACAGGCTACAGGAAGATTTTAGCAGATCCTTACACATTAGCGGCAAGGCTTCCTCAACCAGGCCATTCGGTCAACACGATGCTACGCCTGAAGGTGTCACTTTGTGGAGGCATCCACCCGCACTGTTGGTCAGCATTGTGCGGGGCGCGCTTCTGATCATGGCCAGTCACTTCGTCGATGATTTCACCAGGTGTGACTAGGCCTGCGACGCTGAATCCAGCAACGCAACGATTGCTTCAAACGAGCTCCGCCACGGGACGCTTTCATTGCCACTTCCCCGCCCGCAATTAGCTCACCCCACCGGAAGCGCAGAGGTATGCCGGGAGACACAAAGAGGTGGGACGATCAAGAGGGTCAGTTACGTTTCCTGTTTGCTGAAATCTGTGTCCAGCGTTTTTTTTTAAGAGGCCAGGCGAGCTCTCGCAACGCAGTTTGTACCCCAAGACTTGGAACGACGGCGGCTGACAGATAATTCCTCTCGACCCACCCACCTTTTCTTAGGTCCTGGTTCAAGTTGTGGCCGCGACGGAGGTAGCTTTGCAAAGCAAGCTCGAAGTCCGCCGAACCTCCAAGTCTGCTGTTGTTGCAAATGAATGTCGGGGCCCGCTTGATCTCAAGGAGTTCCACCTCAGGAGAGTCCTCCACACGGTTCCTTCGCGGAGCACAGCCACCCCGCCCCACCCCTCAAGCCGGGCACCTGCAGTCAGATTGGCTTTCCTAGGCACCTGCGTGGCCGCAGTTTAGAGTAGCTAAGCAAATCTCCTGGGCGAGGATAATTTGAAGCAAGCCGAACTCTTCCCCTGCCGCTGTTTGTGGACGCAAACTGCGCGCGGCCATTTTGGCCCCCCTGTCTGTAGTTCGCAGACACCATCGCCGTGTCAAAAACGAGCATCGCGTCTATTAGAGACAAACTCCCTTAAGAGTCTGGCCCTTGGACCAGAAAACTTCAGAAGTGCTTTCCCTCTCAATTGTCACTCCACATCACGATGTTACCCAACAAACAAAGAAGCAAACAAGCAAACAAGCAAGCAAGCAAGCAAGCAAGCAAGCAAGCCAGGCAAGCAAGCAAGCAAGTAGGCAAGCAAGCAAGCCAGCTAGCTAGCAAAGCGAGCAAAGCAAAGCAAAGCAAAGCCAAGGCGCATCGGCCCTTTCCCGCCTTCCAGTGCAGAGCCGGGGGCCTTCTCACCACCGGCCTGGAAGGTCTGCGTAGCACCAGCGATGGCGCCGCATTTGGTGTGCCCCAAAACGAGGATCAACTTGCTGCCCAACCTGGGTTCACGGCATCCAACTCCACGGTCCACACACCAAACCATGGAAAGCAAGCGGCATAAAAGAGGGGAAAAAAGCGCTGTGAAAGCAAATGGCATTCTTTGATGTGATGTGGCTCTTACAAACAGACAAGCCCGTTCAGCACCCAAACAAAAAAAGGTGGGTTGGAAAAGGAAACTCAATGAAGAACAATGGCTGCTTGGGTTCCATGTTCTGCAGGAACATACACTCTACTCCTGTAGGCTCCTAAATCGGCATCCAGAAAAAAAGGAAAAAAAAAAAAAAACAACTTCGCGTTCCCGCGATCCCATCCAAGCCGAGGCCATGAATGAGGAAAACCCGTCCCATACTCTGCATGGGACGAAATCCATTTCGCGCCAGTTGGGATGAAACATGAATTGCAGGATAAACATGGGCGAATCGCTTCCTGAGTGGTACGAATGGGCGAATCGCTTCCTGAGTGGTGCGAAGCGCATGTTGCCCATCCACAGTAGGGACCCTTTTGAACGGTCGTAGCCAAGGCACTTGCCTGTGCAAAACTCCAAGCTGCCAACCATACTGCCTTCCGCATGGCAGCCTCAGATGCAAGTTGGCCGTGCGTTGCTTCTTACCAAATCAACCAAGACATCCCACGTTAGGGCTGACCATTGGAGACTTGATTTGAGAACCACAAGCTGCAAGGTCAATCCGTTCAAAGAGCTGATCCAACAAATCAAGGCAAAAACTCCACAATTTCTCACAAGTGACCAAGAACTTCTCACAAGTGACCAAGGGAGAACTTGGCCTCAGCAACTGGCTGCTTGCTTCGCTTAGAGGTGCCAGTGACATTGGTCAAGGCATGTAAACCCTTCGCTCTAAGCATTGTCCCATACCCTGCTGCTGAAACAAAACTCCAAATGTGCAGCAGACAAAGCATATCATATGAATGCGCAATCTGAATATTATATAGTATACAGTATACATATATATATATATATACATATCATGTGTGTGTGCATCTACAGGCTTATACTTTTTCAAGGCATGCATACAAATTCTGCACATAACTGCATGATGCCTGAAAAGTTCATGCATTCCTTCTGCAAATGTTACTATAATTCCAGAAGCTGAATTCAGAGTATCCCCAAGTGGGGGACCTTTATCATCTCGTACCCCCGAATCGGTGAGCTCGCTAGAACATAGGCAGAGTCACCCACTCGAAGCCGGGCGTCAGGTGTTCCCCGCGTTGCGCAGGACAAAGAGCTCGCCAGGCATCGCATCGAAGACGGTGTCCACAGGCACCCGCGAGTCCGCGCAACCTGGTGGCGTGCGCAAATCCATAAACCGATTTGGAGGCGGCGAATCTGTAGATCCACGCCCCGTAGGAGATTCAAAGAGCACGGATTGATTAGTAAAAAAGGGACCTTTCGAGAAAGAGCTGGCAAAGTTCACGAAATGTGCATCGGAACTGTTTTCGAGAGGAAAGAGTCTGACACCCCAAACGAGGAGCCCAAACGTTGCAAGAGAATCAGACAACCAATCGACTGACATCAGCTCTCAATATCCTCAACCAGAACCGCCTGGTGGTCTTGTCGCGGTTAGAAGCGCAGCCCAAAAACCGTCTGCAGCTGTTGGCCGAATTTGTGCTCTCTCTGAGTAACAAGAATTTGGCCACAGGGTTCCCAGCAAAAGGAGACTCGCTGGGCGAAGGAGTTGAAGCTACCGTACTTCACAATGTGAGAAGTGCGGAACCCTGTCTCAAGGTGAAAAGTGCGCAAGTCAGTCGTCTCGCCAAACCCACATCGCTACCAAAAAAGCCCTGCTGAGATTCTCCCCGCGCCCTCGGTTGTCGGCTTCCTCCGAGGAAACTCCCAAAACTTGACTTTGAAGTTGCCGAGCTTCCTGGAAAGGGCTTGAGGCGGCCGGGTGGAAAACCGAAGAAACCTCTCAGAATGCTGCCCAACTCAAAACGGAACCCCAGAAGTCCAGAAACCTCCCAAAGGGGAAAAATCTCGTCGAGCGGCCCAGGATGGCGCTATGGGGCGCCTGGCCGCACTGCACCAGAGCCTTCCGCATAGGGCCTCAGATGTCCCATGCCGGACTGCCCCAGTCAAAGGGCGATGCTGGAAACCTAACGAAACACACAGGAACATGACCCCCAACCACAAAAATCCAAACCTGCAAACATGTGTCCTTGCCCCCATGATGAGTGCCACCCTTGAAGGGCGAAACGATTGTCAGGAAAACTGAATGGAATAATAATATGCCTTTAGGAGTCCCTGATACTCTGCTGACCGTTTCTTTTCAGATTGGCTGCTTGGTCAAGTAATCACGTTGCACTGTGGACAGTTGTATCCATGACTCACCAAAAAAAAAAAAACGAACAAACTTAAAAAGCTGATGAAACATTCTTCAAACTAATTCTGCACCTAGACACAGCCATGCCGGATGCAAAAAAATGCGCAAACCGCCTCGCATGACACTGCACAACTGCTAGTGCATGCGAAATGCGAATGAACAAGAAAACAAGCACAAACTCGGAATGTGAGATGTTGAATCCAAAAACAAGACTAAAGTGAAGTTGACTAAACACGTTGACAACAAAGCTAAAGCAGCACAGCAAGATTGATGGATGAATCACTTGAAACATATGTGTCAATGAGCAATGAGTGTACCACAAGTATCACCTCTGAACTGGAACTGCTACAACTAGGAAGCTGACCCTGCGCTTTGGCCAAAGCAGCCGGAGGTCTGCGTCGCGGTAGGCGCGCCGGCGGCGAAACGCTCGTTGCCTGCCTGGACGTGCGTCCGAAGCTGCAACGTAGAAGGCTGTACCAAAAGCTCCCATCCGTTTGTCTCAACACCAGCTGAGCAGGCAGGCAAACAGAACCAAACAACGTAAACCCATTCCCGGCCTTCAGCATCTTCAGGGCCGCTTCTTTGGGCACCGCGCTGTCGGCGCCGGTGCGCACACCATGCTTTCCCCGGGCCTCCCCAGATTCCACCATGGACGGGGGGATGGCCATCGTCGAGTCCAGAAGCTCCGCTTGCCTCGGACTGGCTCTATCACTGCCCTAACCTGAAATCAGCCAAACACGTCTCCTTGACGATCAAGAAGACCAACCTGAAGAGGCGCCAAGCTGAATTCAAGTCTTGACCTTCCAAATCCCAAAGTCGCCAAGCCTTTTTCACCCTTGCCGCGGCGCGTGGGCAAACGCCCAAGGAAGTCCACGCACCCCGTCTCCAGGTTGTAGATGCCCCCCTGGATCTGCACAGTGCCCTCACGCACCGCCGAGCGGATGGACTCGCTAAAGCGCAACAGGAAGCTCATGGTGTGGTAGACGTTCACCTGAGGCGACTTGACGGCAGTGCCCCAGCAAGCATCGCATGAAAAGAAATGTGCAGTTTATACCGTTTGGCTTGATTCATATTCGTTCAGCCTGTTCTGTTTCGCAGCGTGTTGTAAAAAGAAGCTGACCTTCAAACCTCCAAAGATCCTTGATTCCCTCTTGGAATGCAAGCAACTGAGCTTTGGCACCAAACCCCTCCCCCTTGCCCCCCACTCCCCGCCTACCCCCTCCCCGCCTACCCCCTCCCCCCCCCCCAGCCCCTCCCCGGATCCGAGCCTTGACGGCGCGGGCGGTCACCTCCTCCACGCTGGCGCCCGGCCCGGCCTCCTGCACCGCCTGCTCCGCCACCGCGCCGAGGTCCTGGCACGGCCACCGAAGCGGACGGCGGCGCAACGCGCAACGCGCAACGCGCCTGCAGCAGGCCCTGCAGCGCGGAGCCGGCTTTCTGGGGCCCCTGGGCGGCCAAATACCTCGGACTTGGCTTGAGCTCTTGCCAAACCAATGGAGGTACTTCCTAGAATCGAGGCTTATGCTAGAAAGGGATTTCAAGCGTGGAGTTGCTTATGTCCGGTTGCTTGCCCTTGGAGCTCCGTTCTTCGCACAAACATCACGAACAAAGAGAAACAATGATGGAATTGTGTATGAATCTAGCACGCAATGCCAAAGTTGCTTCCCCAGCAATACGCAACATGACTTTCTCCGGTCCAAGAAATCTGACTATGTCAAGAGACAAAAGTGCACCAACACAGCAGTGACTTTGAGTCAAAAAACCATAGTGTCAGTAGGGAAACAAACCAAAAAAAACGACAACATGAGCCCTGAAGCTCCTTCGTAAAGCAGCACCAAAGCAATTTGTTCCCATCGCTTTCGAGGGGCGTTTGGGTTGCGCCTGCAATGGCGCCGCATTTGGTGTGGCCGAGCACCAGGATCAGACGGCTGCCCAGCTTGCCTGTAGCAAACCTTAGCAAACCTGTCAGCCACCCCCAATGCAAACCCCACTACGTGGACGGTCTCTGTTTTGGCTTCCCTGTCAAACCAACCAATAGCGCATCCCCTGCTTTGAGGTCCACCGCTTTGGCAGGTCCTGGCGGCACTCTGCTTGAAGTAGTGAGCAATGAGAAACACCTGGCCTCCAGGCAGCGCAAGGGGCGATTGATTGACGTTTGATATCACACAAAGAGCAAGAACCGAGGCGCATAACGCCAACACCACAAAACTTGTTCAACAAAACCAAAACACGTCGTTTACATCCAAGCACCTGTACACAACAAACACTAAGCAGCAAACTGCCACAGCAAACTGCCACAGCACCCCATCTCCCAGCCGAGGAACTCCAAGCTGCCCACCATGCTACCCTCAGCGTGCGTGCAGGTATTTCCGGCGTTGCGCAGCACAAAGAGGTCCCCTGCCGGCAACTGGGATCTGGAAGGCCAACAAAATCACAGGAAGCAGATCCAGCTACGCTGTGTGTCTTCGAGCTCGAAGAGTGAGGGCAACCCTACACGTATAGGGGTATGGTATACATGAGAGCCCAAAGCGAGAACACGCATATTACATGAGAGAACAACGTGAAACAGCTGCATTGCTTCAGCGCTCTGCATCCAACCAAAGTGCGTAGCTCGCAGACAAAGCCAAACCCGAAACGAAAAAAAGGGCCAGTGACTGCTCGAAAGGCCGCTGCTCGCTTTGAAACACAAATTCAAGCGCCCAGCGTGCCCACGGTGGACCGCTTCTTTCATTTGCGCAAAGTTGCACCTGCCTTGCGTCATCGAGCTGCGTCTGCGTCACATCGCCATCGCATCGCACGCCAATTTACTGTTGCGCTCTGAGCTGCTCTAGAACTTTGGGCTACATTCCAGCAACTTCACATGGCGCGAGGCACGGCGTAGTCAAAGTGTTGCTTTACAACGCGCGTGATGACACGCACAGCGTCATTACGCTGCGTCCACGTTTCACATCGCAGTCTCTGCGTCAAGTTCCTTCCACGGAAATCACGACATAAGCCCGGGCCCGGACTGCAGTAGACAGCTTTCGCAGCACGCCAACACCCACTCACACGTTCAAGCGCAGGCGCCAAGACGCAGCAGGACGCGCAGCGGAGCTTCAAACAAGGTTGGGCGCCCAAAACGTTGCGGAGAAGCTGGGCTGGACCGTGCCAAGCAAGGCGACGGCTGGCATAACAGGATCGCACACCACCAGCCTCCACATGCGAACAGGCACGCACAAGAGACACCAATATGGCCACAGAGTCTTCGATCGATGGCTTCCTGAACTACGCAGCCATCAATCGTCGTCAAACCCCTCGACCTCGCACCCCGCCAACCGCAACAGCGGCCATGACCATGTAGCACAACATGCGCAAGCCCTCGACGCTGACAACGACACAAAGAGCAAGAAATCGGCTGTTGCTTTCAGCTCCCCCTTTGTTGCATGCAGGTTCGCAGCGCCGGCCCATCATTGGAATATCAGTGCGTAAACGTGGAGCTAAGACCGCCATGTTGACAACTCTCTGATCTACTGCCAAAACCATGTTCGTGTGATTTACGAGAACTAGTATGACGGTATGTAAGAGGCTTCAGTATCTAATGTCTTCTGCAAGCGTGGCCTCCTAAAACAAATTAGTTGCAAATCTGCTCCAAGCTCTCAAACTAGCGCGGAATTCCAAAAAGCATTCGCATTGCTCGAATGATTTCCAGGCCTGGCATCGAGTCAAAGATGGTCTCCAGGGGAGCACGGGAGTCAGCACAGCCAATGATGGCCTAGCCCGAGGCATGTGAAGTTCAGGGAAGGGCAGCAGTGGCATGGCCCGGAAGCTTACCAACTTTGAACGCAGGGACCTGCCTGCAAGGAACCTGAGAAGAATCCCGCTCCATGTCTAGTGACGCTTGCAGTGCAGCGCTGGCATGTTTGATGTCCCCTTTAACCATCTCGCCGCCCAAAGGGGGCTCGCGTTTGTCTCTACATGAAACCCCAACAACATTTAGGTGTTTTCCAGTTGCTTTCCCTTAAACTCACCCATTCAAAAGGGCTCGAACAATCCGCAAATCTTACAACATGTACAAAAAACCTGACCTTAAAAAGACAAAAAGAAAGAGAACAGAATCGCGTCCCCAGGCTCATAAAGGAAAAAACTTACGGCTTGTTTCTTCTTTCGCTCCTTTTCCCCCCCAGTTCATCCACTCGAGCCCGAGCTCTCAGCGCCCCGCCGTGTGGGGCGCCTGGCCCTCCTCCACCAGCTGCTTCCGTGCGGCGTCCTTGGTGCGCGCCCCCAGCGGCCGCCCGGCCACAAAGCGGCCGTTGCCCTCCTCGCAAGCCGAGAGCGGAGCCACTTTTGGCGGTCGAAACCGTTTTGAGGTTGGTGGGTAGGTGAATTCCCCACACATTCGAGAACCTGTTTTAGTGGGGATTGGGATGTTCACTGGGGGTACGATTTGGCTGGTGACATTGGTTCCTTCGGGAGCGGAGCCCGGGTGGTTTTCTGACAATCCTTCGCTGAGACCCACAGCGCCTTCTTTGTGTCAGTAGCAAAACAAGGTAGCCCCCAAAGTGGGAGTAACCTGGCAAACGGAGAGGAAAAAAGGTCTTATGGTTCAAGGATTAACCAAAACGAAAACCACGATTTGGGGACCGGGCCCCGGGACCACACGTGTCCAAAAGGTCGGGGCTTAGGTCACACCGGAAAATGCATGCATCAAAGGGCAAGTGTCTTTGGATTTGTGTGCCTGCCCTGGACTGAAAATTCCGCAATTCCGGGGTGCTTTCCGTCTTCAGTCAGCGTCCGTGGCCAAACCAATCTCGTATCCTGCCAGAAGCTCCTCATGTCTGAGTCTCTTCGCTACCAAAAAATTGGCATACCAGAAAATAATACGCAAATGACATGCATGTGGCGGCTTTGTTCCAGTGCTCGCAAAAAGCTTTCTAGTGGTTTCTCTGCAAGACTCGGTTTGCCAAGCACGCCATCAGGGATCCGGTGAATTGGGGAGAACGCATGCTAAAAGTGAGAGGACAAGCTAGACACTCTGCTTCATGTGTCGCCTGCCAGCGCTCTTCAATTGTTTTCCTATTCAAGCGAGTTCGCATGTAAGCGCGCCATGCCTTGAGACCAAAGTGTGCAAGTTGAAGCCCTGACATAGAGCAAGATATAAGCGCAAGTGTCACTCCTTCCAAAAAAAAAGAGGCCAAGATGCCCCTTCCCGCCGCACCTCGGCTCTCCGCTCTCCGGTCCCGTCCTTCAGCATCTTCAGCGCCTCCTCTGGTGCCACTGGTGGGTCTGCTGTGGTGCGCACGTGGCGCACCTCGGGCCCGCTGCAGGCGGAGAAGGCATCTGCGAGCTGGGCAAAGACCATGGCCTCGATGCAAAACGAATGGGTACGGGTCAAAACTAAACCACCAAGAATTCAACCGCAGGACTTAGTCCATATATCCATTTAGGTGGGGAATCGAATTGCATGCACCATGCACCCAGGCTTTGGTCCCTTAGGAAACCAGCAGCGGGATGGTTTATTTCGGGGTCATTCCATTTCTCATGCCCTGCCTACAGCAGCAAGAAAAAACACCCGCCAAGACAGATCCCTTCAGCACTTCAGCCGCCTCAGGCCCGGGCTGAGGACTGGCGGAAGACAGCAAGGCGAAGAGCTTGAGTGCTAAAATGCTGCGGGACAGCGTGCCCTCCAAACTCCCACACCAGGATACTGCTCACTTCGTGGCTGTCCCCCGATGTTCCAAACAATCCTGGCTCCAAGCGTGGATGTTGAATGGCTCAAAGGATTCATCAAAACCCTCACAAACGTCCAGCTGTTCTTCTGGTTCCCTGCCTCAGTCGGTAAGTGGAGGTTGCCTCCCGTCGTTTGCGGCAGAAGCTGGGCTTCCCCACGTGGTGATACACGGTGGGGCCCGGCACGTGCACATGCATGTACTGCGGCGGGCTGGGCACGTGGTAGTGGTGCACCACGTTGTGGATGATCTCGGATGCAGAACCATTGCCCTGATTCATGTTCAAGGATCCATCTCAAATTGGGTGTGTCTTTTTGTAGGCGACCCCAAAACAGGTGGGTTTCCCTTTCATCCAAAAACAGTACCAACTCACAAAAAAGGAGCCACACCCAATTGTGGCAACCTCGAAGTGGGAACCTGAGGCCAGCTTGCTCCATTCAGGTCCTCAACTTGGCCTGAGAAACGGCATCGTGTGAAAGGAAGCGCAAGGAAGCAAGCCTCGATTAAGATGGCAGTGGGTCAAAAATATGTACCCAAAATGGGAACGCTGGCAACTGGAAACATGGCTTAGACCTGCGGTCCCATGGTGGTTTAATTTTGACCCACAGCCAGATAAGGATCCCTGAGAGACCATCCCTCAGCCCAACGCAAACCTCGCCCGTTGCACCAAACCGCCGGATGGTGTAGCGGCATCGGCACCGGCACCGGCACACGGTACTTCCTCGGTGCGCAGCGTCGAAACCAGAGGTTTATGGGTGTGTCTTGCTTGGGGGGTGGTTTTCCTTTTGGCTTTGCTTGAAAACCACAAAACGCGGGTACCTGCAAGAAAATGGCACGCGTTGTCTATCTAGAAGCAGTGAATATGCGTTTGTCTATTCCGAGTTACCCAGGCGAGGTAGCACCCCCTTGTCAAACGATGCCCTGCCTCAAACAAGTTTAAATGATTTCAAACAAACGGCACAGGAAAATACGAAGAGCGTTGTCTGGAGATAAATGGCATTCACCAAAAGGGTACAAAGATCCTGACCCCTTCTTCAACCTGCCAGGCAAAAAAACAGGTGTCTCACAAGAGGGCAAAAATTAAGGGGGTGGTTCAAAAGAGACAAAACCCGAGAACCAACAAATATTCAAAACCACAGAACCAAAACAAAATCAAAACCACAGAACCACAGAACCATTTTGGGGTGGGTCCGAAAAAAGTGTCAAACATCTTCGGGCTGCACGCCAAGGCGCTGAACCTTGGTCACGTGATGGTAGATGTTCTTGTCGACCACTTGCACAGGGCAGAACTGGCGTCGAGCGAGGCGGCGAGCGAAGCCGGCGGCCCGAAAGCCGAAGAGAACAGGTAAAAGGGTCTGTGTTGGTCTGAAGGTCATCCCTTTCACCCGCAAGATTGCGCGGCTTTCATTTGCTGGAACCTGAAATGGCTCCCAAGCCAGGCAAAGACTCAAGACAAACCCAACCACCTTGCCGCCCAGGCCCGCGCCATCTTGTGTCTGTAGCAGCACCATTTCGTGTGCTTGTCGGACCACTCCGGGTTCGGAGACGCGGCGTGACTTTCGCATTCATACTGCGTGGGTGGCACCTCAGCGAGGGCCGGAGCGCTGGTGCTGGATCACTCAGACAAAAGGCCAAGTCTTTGGCGTTGCTGTAGTCGGGCTTGCTTTGCTGCAAATGAAACGCTTGGCGGACTTTGGTGGTTGCAACCAGAGTGCTCATCAAGTCTTCGCAAGGATTCGGATCAATCCTAGGGCCAAAGCTGTCCATGTCAGAGTCCGACACCAAAGGAGAGCCCTTCAAAACGGAGACTGAACAAACCAATCAGGGTAGCCTCGAAACAAGAAACACCCATGCAAATACGGGTGTGTTTTTTTCTAGGGAACCCCAAAAACGGGCGTGTCCTTTTGGTCTTCCCTTTACAAACCCACCCAGAAGGATGCGCAAAAAGACCAACCCCAAAAACGGACACACCCAGATCAAAGCTGGAAATTGCTGACAAGGCCCAGCTTCACATTCATAGCAGCGCCAAGATGTCAAAACGGCATGAAAAAAAAAAGGTTGACCCCAGATTCATAAACCTGTTTTCTCAATGGGGGGTGTTCCCCTAAAGTGCTGAATTCCCAAAGTTCCCCTAAAGCACCGCTGCCATTGAGACCACTGAGACCGTTGCCACCATCTTGATGTTGTGAATGATCGGGGCATGCTGCGGCATCTGCACCTTGACCTCAGCCATGATATGTTTGCGAGGTCTGCCCAAAACCAAAAGGAAAAGGGCGGCAAACTACGTTAATTTTCGCTCACGGGTTTGAAAAATGTTCCAAATATTTCATCACATCCCTGTTCGTCTCTGGATTGGGAGCACACATCCCCAACCTTGCAACATGGCCGCATGTCTCGCACTGCCCAAGCTGCATAGTGGTTCACCGGCACATGCCTGCACGACTCGACAGCCGAAACCGCTTCTGTGAGCGATCATCTTAGTTCTCATAGCAAGGGAAGCCCCATGTTCGCGAATCTGCGCGCCACTACAAAGGATGCAACAGCATAGTTCCACTCAGCGGCCAAAAAAGTGAGACTGCTTTTGACACCAGTTGGCATGTTTTTCGCTTTGCCTGGACATCTACATTCTCCAAGAATCGATGGCAATGCCTCTATTGGCCCCTGTGCAACACGCAACACGTTGCAACATTTTGCAATGAACTTCATAACCGTGTGGCTGTGGGTCAAGAATGGTAAATGGAACCAAGGACTAAAACCTGCGGTCCCCTGTGGTTTAACTTTGACCCATAACCCCGTGATCTTGGCCTGGGATAGTCCGGGCCAAGTCTGGCTCTACAATATCCCTGCGACCCGTCCTGTAGACCGTGCCATAGTGGTGGCGGACGATCTCGTGGACTTTAGGCTTCACCTCCGGTGCTGGTCATAAGCTCGATCTACATTTTGAAGGTGACAAACATGAACAAACTAACCCGTAGTGCCATGCAGAGTCCCTGGTTTTTTGCAGGAAATTCTGTGACCATGACCTTAGAGCACCGGACGACATTTCCCCCCAACCTCGCGTGACACCTGGTGGACTCATTCATCATATCTGGCCATGAAGCCGCTGCACGGTTTATCTTCAGTTTAGCGTCACACTTGGGGATGCCGGACCTGGATGGCACAAGATCGAAGGGAGCATCGAGGTATAGCAGTGCACTATTGAAAGACTCTCCGCTACCAACACCACCAGCTCATCGGACATGTTCTCTGGTTCGCCGTCGTTTGTTCTGATCATGCCACTTCCTGCGTGGTCCGGCTCCCAGATTTCGGCACCACCCAAGCTCATGTCTACTCTAAAGATCTCTGAAGCAACTGCTAAACTAGTGACGGGGATTGTGCTTCCGGAAAGACCCGGAGACCGGAACATGTACGACTTTGCGCTGGCTGGCTGTTTGTTGCTCAAAACAAAAACAAACAAACGGCGCCTCCGTGTGACCGCAGGCCAGGTTCACATTCAGCATCCTCTCTTGTGGGCAGTTTGCGCAGCAGCTGGCCTCGTTGAACAAAGCCTCGGCCAAGACGACGCGGCAAAACGCACCACGCCGCGTTCCCTCTTTCACAAACCACGAAGAGCCTGTATCACCTTGCTCCCCACCGCAACTGAAGCTCCCAAAAGAAACAAAACAATAACACGAAAGGCGAAAACGCGGTGCTTCGGTGCTTCGGATCTTCGGTATGGATCCCTTGGCGCCCGGCACCTGCGAAGCACAGGCCTCGCGAAAAAACCATCGAGACGGCTCGGCCAAGCCATGGAGGGAAATGGGGGTGATCAACTCAGATGCCCAGTGCGCCACATTGCCCAGTGAGTGGAGCCCACATCCCAGCCGAAGCCAAAAATCAGGCCGTCCCGCTAAGGGGAAGGGCAAAGCAGGAATTAAATCCATCTAGCAGGAGCATGTGGTCAGCATGCGTTAGCCAAAACCGGCAGTCACGTGCCCGCCTAAAAGGGCGGCGGGGGCCACAAGAAATGCTTATCGGACGTATACTTGCGGTATCGGTAAACCGGGTTTTAGCGGGCGTCAAGGACTCTTTTGCATGGATAGTGAGATCAATCAAGGGTTCCAATTTTGGTATTTTAAGCGTGACACCACTGAGGGACCCTTCCCCCCAAAAAAAGAGAAAGGGAACCACTGGGCAACTGGGTCAATATTCCCTTCAGGGCCCCCAGTTTTGACCATGGGCAACTCTTGGCAGGTGAAAGTCGCATCTTGTTCGGTGGTTTCCCTAATGGTCACCCCATATATCACGAACCTTTTGATCAACCCCCAAATGATTGCTTGGAATTTGCACCTTCCAAAGCTGCAATTGCATGTAGGCAAACTGTTCTGAGGCCGACAGAAGTCCATGCAGCAAAAAAGCAGAATTCAATCGCAAGCATAGCAATGCCCAAAGCACTGCGAAAGCTTTATTCAGGGGAAGAAGCTCAAGTGTTTTTCTCACTAGAAGTGGGTCACCCAAAAATAATGTGGAAGAACATACCAAAAAATGGGCAAAACCACGTGCGCACACACACACACACACAAGTGCGCCCGCCGATCTCTTGCCGCCAGCTGGCTTGTACACATGTCAGCTTGCCTTAGTGCCAAATGACCACTGTTCCTCTTTGCTGACACCAAATACAAAGCGTCCCATTGTTAGGGGGTATTCCCTCCAAAAGTGATAGATCCCCATTAAAAGGGCACGTTTATTAATCCGGGGCTCACAGTACAAAGCCTAAGCAAACCCTGAAGAACAGTATGCTTCAAGCCCGCAACGCGAGCCTCCACATTCTCAACTCAATGCCCAAAAGTGCCGCCCAGCGGCCCGGCGCCGCAGGTCTCCGCTGTGAACAAGGCCCGAAGCTGGCAGGGCATTATGACACGTGGGGATCAGAAGATGCGCCAAAGTCGAAAAGCCGAACCACGCGCAATCCACCGGCCAAGTTTTACTTGGCATGGGACTTATGGCTGTTCCCCATGTTTTGAGCCGTGCAAGGCTCGAAATACGTGGTTATCCTGAAGCCCTGGTTTCTGATGGAGGTTTAATGAGTCCCGAATTAGTGGCTATGAAGTCCTGGAACTTTTAACAGAACTTCGGATGAAACCAATCTATCTTGTTCATTGCCCAAGACTGCCCCCCAACCCTGATGTGGCCACCTCAAGCCAACGATACGGACCTCGGAGCCCGTGTTCCAGATTTATACCAACCATCCACACGTGAAGAGATGCAGCTGGGTTCTCCCTTTAACGCTGAACAAAGCTCATTCATCATCACATACGCAAACTAAATATTTGATTCTGATGGGGTTTGCGCCAACAAACCGCACCCGTGCAAGCCGACAAGGGCTTGCAATATTGTCATCTTGGGATTCCGCACGTACCCGGCCAGCGGACTGCCTGGCAAATCGTGAGGAATGGGATGAAAACGAGGCCCAAGCCTCGGAGCGACGGGCGCGTAGCCTTTGCGACTGCGTTTGTGAGGCTGATGCTCGAATTCGTCTTTGTGCTTGTCGTTGATACTGTGTGTTCTTGTGTGTGTGTGTGGGGTGATGTGGGGGGGTGTTGTGGGGTGTTGTGGGGTGTTGTGGGGTGTTGTGGGGTGTTGTGATGTGAAGTGTGGCTGTGTGGCCTGTAATTGTGAGCCTCTCTGTCCCTGTTCCTGTGCGCCCGTTGCCCACCCCGCATGCCCACTCTCCCATGCCAAAACGCCCGCGCCGAGCCACAGAGGAAGCAGCAGAGACTCATCATGCACACCCGAGGCCTGAACTTGGAGTTGTTCTCTCTCGGGCTCAATGCCAACTTCACTGCAGGCAACTTCCAACTCTGACAGACTTCTCAAGCTTGCACGAGACTCACAGCTCTCGGCCTGTAGCCGTACTGCACATGCTGGTCCACGGAATAGGAGCCCTTTCCTGCCAAAGCATGGAAACGCACACATGTCTTTGAGTCACTCGTCACTGGAATCCTTCAGACCTTCCCCTTTCACAGTGCTCTCGCTGGGCCACTGGCTGGTGCAACACGTCAAGCCCAGCCTTCGCTGACCTCTATCATCTTCTGCTCCATGTTGCCCCTGCCTCAGCGTAGCAACGGGGCATCGCGGTAGCATCGAGTGATGGAAGGCATGTCACACCACCACACATCGCCACACTCGCTCCGCATCTCAAGAGGATGGGAATGCAACAGCAAAAACCAAGTCATGTCACAGTGGTTGTTGCTTTCACATCTTTGGGTCACAAGTACGCAGAATCATATATATATATATATGTATGTCAATATGCTTCTAGCATTCTTCCGAGCCTGATGTCATGTTCACTTTCGTGCGCTCCGAGCTCCCAAGCCATATCCCACGTAGGTCATGTTCTGGCTCGTGCCCACCTGATACCTTTCGTAAAAGAGGCCTCGGATCCGATCGCGGGTTCAGACCCAAAAAGGCGGCGGGGGGAGGGGGGGGGAGAGGGGCAAGAGAACCTCACTTGAGCGGATCGGCCAAGTCTGAAGATGTTTGTTTGCCACTATGGTCTGCCCAAAAAGCATGAATCAATGAAGTCCAGAAACTCAGGAAGCGAGGAAACTTGATATCTAACGATTTAACTTCTTAGGCAATCTCCCCAATGCAGAGCGCACCTGTAACACAACACTGCAGTTCATGTACTGGAAGCGGATAGAAATCCAGGCCATCTGCACATGCCTTTTGGCCAAGGCGCCAAACAAGTAGTCACCTGCGAGCGCTGAATTTAAGAAGGAACACAAACAAATTCAAGCAATCGTTGTAGCGCAAGCAAGGAAGGAACAACTGGCTTAGGCCAAATAGCTGCAACGATTGTAGTTTTTGAACCAACATGTATGTCATACTGCCCCATATAAAAATGTGGCAAACAAAGATGCATGGCGCGCGGTTGCGTGACTGGGTCCAACTCAGCGTGTGACGCAGTCCAAGGGGGCTGCTTGTTGCTCGCGCGCCTAGGCTCCAGCCGCCTGCAGAGCCACGTCCGCTGCTGCTACCGCCGCCGCCGTATGCAACGACGCCGCCGCCACCGCTTCCACTGACATGCGTGTAGCCCCCCGAGGCAGCTCCTCCACCGACAGTGGTCACCTTCACCTCAGTTCACCGGAGATCTTGGCACTGCTCAATAGTCAAACGCAGCACACAAGGCATGACTCTGCAAAGAACAAGTGCTTAGATGACAACTGCCCTTTGTTTCAGCATGCTCAGGGTTGTGGACACAATTCCTGTTTCCAGGCCAGAATATCCAACAAATAACCAACCAAACGCGTTGTTTTCGCGACGATCCAACTCTTCGCCAAGTCCGAGTCCCCAGCAACCATTTGTGCCAAGATGTTTAACCTGCGGTGCAAACGATACTTGGGTTTGAGCAACGGCTTCCACTTTGCGGGTTGTTTCCGGGGCAATGGGCACAGAACATGTTCGCAACATTGACACCTGGCCACGTGTGTGTGTGTGTGTGTGTGTGTGTGTGTGTGTGTGTGTGTGTGTGTGTGTGTGTGTGTGTGTGTGTGTGTGTGTGTGTGTGTGTGTGTGTGTGTGTGTGTGTGTGTGTGTGTGTGTGTGTGTGTGTGTGTGTGTGTGTGTGTGTGTGTGTGTGTGTGTGTGTGTGTGTGTGTGTGTGTGTGTGTGTGTGTGTGTGTGTGTGTGTGTGTGTGTGTGTGTGTGTGTGTGTGTGTGTGTGTGTGTGTGTGTGTGTGTGTGTGTGTGTGTGTGTGTGTGTGTGTGTGTGTGTGTGTGTGTGTGTGTGTGTGTGTGTGTGTGTGTGTGTGTGTGTGTGTGTGTGTGTGTGTGTGTGTGTGTGTGTGTGTGTGTGTGTGTGTGTGTGTGTGTGTGTGTGTGTGTGTGTGTGTGTGTGTGTGTGTGTGTGTGTGTGTGTGTGTGTGTGTGTGTGTGTGTGTGTGTGTGTGTGTGTGTGTGTGTGTGTGTGTTGTGTGTTGTGTGTTGTGTGTTGTGTGTTGTGTGTTGTGTGTTGTGTGTGGTGTGTGGTGTGTGGTGTGCGGTGTGTGCGGTGTGTGCGGTGTGTGCGGTGTGTGCGGTGTGTGCGGTGTGTGCGGTGTGTGCGGTGTGTGCGGTGTGTGCGGTGTGTGCGGTGTGTGCGGTGTG